TTACATTTCTAAAATGACCCAAGCTCAGGTCAAATTGAGTAACCAGCCAATCTGAAGCCGATGTTCTTCACCACAGAGATCTGAGATTAGCTCAGACGTCCACACAGTAATAACTGATAGCTTTACAGCCTCAGAGATGACGGCGCTTCTGGCTGGAACAATTAAAAATCGATGAATCATCCGGCGAAACAATGGGCTAATAATCGCTCCAGAGGAGGGGATATTAACGGTTACGTAACTTCAGCCACACAAGCAGCAGCAACCAACCGAGCGCTAACGCGTCCTAACGTCCGACTAACACGCTAATACAGTGAGAGAGGGAAGCGCGGAGAGGTCATATAGACGGGTCTGACTGCACGCCCCCTGCAGCAGCTCCAAATCCGTATACAGCCCACCGCTGGATCCGTGCGGAGCTAATCACGGGCTGGCGGTGAAATCGTGCTGCAGTAACGCGCTCATTAGGAGCTTCGCTATCAATAACACATTCAGAACAGATGGAGTCGGAACAGGAAGCTGGAGCTGAAGATGTTACGTGCTGGAAACTATAAAAGCTGGAGGACTGATTTAATTACACACTGTTACTGCGGTGAGAACATATCAAATCATATAGACCGACTGCTTTTCAGGAGAGGAGAATCTCAAGAGTTCTTAGTTTTAAGCCCCCTTTATGGATAGGAAGCCCCCTCTCAACACTCACCCCACCCTACCCCACCGCTTTCCATATTTTTCCCCTGCCATTACTTTGATTTCATGAAAAAACGTTTTTTTCCCCTTATTTTTATAAAATGAAAGCGTTTGCTGTAGTACACACTTAAAATTATGGTTCTTCAAGGGTTCTAGTAAAGAAAACAGACCATTTCTGCAGTGAATGGTGCGTTTTTTGAAAATGTGACAAATTTTACATGCACACTTAAAAATGATGGTTCTTCAAGGGTTCTTTAGTAAAGAAAATGGTTCTATATAGAACCACAAACATTTAAAAGAACACTTTCAATGATTAAAGGGTTGTTTGCATCATGAAAGTGTTCCTCAGATTGATGGAGAATGTGCTATAGATGGTTCTGTATAGAATCTTTTGAAAAGGGTTCTATATAGCACCAAAAAAGGGTTCTTTTGAGGTTACAATGTCAGGCTTGTTACAATAGAAGAAGGCTTTCTGGTGCTATATAGAACCCTTTTCAAAAAGGTTCTAGATAGAACCATCTACAGCACATTCTCCATCAATCTGAGGAACACTTTCATGATGCAAACAACCCTTTTATACTGGACTCCTCTGCTAAAATGATTCCAGCTCCAGTACGGCTTTAGACAGGATTAGTTTAAATCAGGTCCATTAAAAATGCACTGAATAAATCCTCACTGATGTTTAGTCATGTTTAATAGCTGATACTGATGCGTTACTAAGGCATGATTAACAGTGTAAATGGCTTTTTAGGTCATTTGTTCTGGTCAAACAAATCATTTCTGTCTATATATAATTATTAAAGCAATAAGCCACGAGAGGCCGTGGGTTACTGTGATGGGGTGTTCTTAGGCACGACGTGAAGCCGAGTAAAACTCCCTTCCTCGGGATAAAATCGCAGGAACACACGGCCTCAAGCGGCTTATTGCTTTAATAAAACAGCAGCCAACATAAAATGTTAAATTATGCTAACTTCTCAGAACATAATTAAAGTTATTATTAATAATAATCAACATTGAAATGTATTCCGCCAAGAAATGTAGTTCCTTTAGAGTGTGGTATTGTTGCCAAGGTTCCGTTGAGCTGAGCTGATACCAGAAGGTGGGGCAAAAACGCTGAAGACCGCTGATTGGTCGGAGAGAATCACTAAACACGTATGCTAAAGTTAGCTACCAGGTTAGCGTAGCCTTTTGCGTCACCTTTGAGCACCAGAACCGTCTCGTCGTCTAAACTCGTCTGATGTGTTTTCCAAACTGCAGTCTTTTGTCTCGCTGCCATCAGCCTCTTCTGAACAACATTTGTCTCGGCAGTTTCATGTGGAGTCGCTATGACGACCAGCTGCATTAAGGAGGTGCTATATCTGCCGTGGAAAACAAAGTAGCTGGTACCAAAAGTGAGTCAAGTCAAGCCAAGACGTACCATACAGTGGAAAAGTGGATTCATTCTACATAATTGAGAATAAAATAGTTAACAGCCTAACCTGAAGAGGGCAGCAGTTCACTTAGTGTGGTACCCATGTGAGCAGACAGTGAAAGAAAAAGAAAGAAGTAGTAAAAAGTCCTAAATGAAGCATAAAGTCAGCACATACAGGTCTGACTGAGCTTTCAGGGAAGCACGTTACCTTCCACCAACAGAACGGTCAGTAAACGGACGAAGCTGAAGCTGGCTTCATGTCACATTGTCTTATCAATGTAAGAACATGTAGGCCTCACAATGATAGCAGATGTGTTCACACACACACACACACACACACACACACACACACACACACACACACAAAAAGGGACTAAAGGAAGTGTCAAAGCTGTTTGTTGGATAAAGAGTTATGAGGTGAATGAGTTATTATTTGAAACATTTTTATTAATTGGAAATTCGCAGAAAACTACAAATGAGTAAATGTAACTGGTTACTCTGCTACTGCTTATGCATTATAATAGCATAGAAATCAAGCATCAGGACTCTTCTCTGTCCAGGAGCCCAGGTGGTGGACCTCCCCAGGCTGTCCGAACAGCAGAGTCTCTCATGGTCTTCAAACACAGACTGAAGACCGTCTTTTTATACAGCACTTAAGTGAGCACTAACATAAGTACTTAACAACACAGCACTTTTGTAAAGTGGCTCTGGATGAGAGCGCTGCTAAATGCTGTACATGTAAATGAAGTTATAGCCATTTAAGCTATTACTGAACATTGCTTACTGACTCTTTATTTATCTATGCGTTCATGTGAATTAATGCAGTTGTTATTTGTTTGTTTAACATAATAACCACTATTAATGTAGTATTTTGTGTTCTTTAAATGTTAACAGATACATAAGTTAATGTTAGTCAACACTTAAAATACAACCCGGGACACTGTAAAATGTAAATAAAAGGTGAATAAAAACAGAATGCAATGATCTACAAATCTCAGAGACCCACATTTTATTCACAATAGAACACAGAACACATATCAGATGCTGAAAGTGAGACATTTTACCATTTCATGAAAAACATTAACTCATTTAGGACTTGATGGCAGCAACGCATCACAAAAAAGTTAGGACAGGGCGACAAAAGGCTGGAAAAGTAAGTGATACTAATGAAAAACAGCTGGAGGAGCAATTTGCAACTAACTCACATGACCGAGTATAAAAAGAGCCTTTTAGAGAGGCAGAGACTCTCAGAAGCAAAGATGGGCAGAGGTTCACCACTCTGTGAAAAACTGCGTCTAAAAATTGTGGAACAATTAAAGAAAGATGTTCTTCAACGAAAAATTTTGAAGACTTTGGATTTTCCACCATCAACAGTACATAATAAATCACCAAAAGGTTCAGAGAATATGGAGAAATCCCTGTACGCAAGGGCCAAGGCCGACGGTCAATAACGGATGCTCATGATCTTCGGATCCTCAGGCGGCACCGCATTGAAAACAGGTATGGTCCTGTACTGGAAATCACTGCATGGGCTCAGAAACACTTCCAGAAATCACTGTGTGAACACAGTTCACTGTACAAACGACAAATGCAAGTTAAAGCTGTATCATGCAAAGAAGCAGCCATATGTCAACACGATCCAGAAACGCCGCCGTCTTCTCTGGGCCAAAGCTCATTTAAAATGGACTGAGGCAAAATGGAAAACTGTTCTGTGGTCAGATGAATCAAAATTTGAAATTCTATTTGGAAACCACGGACGCCGTGTCCTGTGGACTCGAGAGGAGACGGACCATCCAGCTTGTGCTCAGTGCACAGTTCTAAAGCCTGCATCTCTGATGGTCTGGGGCTGCATTAGTGCCTATGGCGTGGGCAGCTTACACATCTGGAAAGGCTCCATCAATGCTGAACAGTACATAGAGGTTTTAGAACAACATATTCTCCCATCCAGACAGCGTCTCTTTCAGGGAAGGCCTTGACTATTTCAGCAAGACAATAAAACACATACTGCATCCATCACAACAGCACGGCTTCACAGAAGAGGAGTCCAGGTGCTGAACTGACCTGCAGTCCAGACCTTTCACCAATAGGAAACATTTCATCATGAAACGAAAAATCCGTTAAAGAAGACCCAGAAACTGTTGAGCAGCTAGAATCCAACATCAGACAAGAATGAGACAACATTCCTCTCCCAAAACTCCAGTAATTGGTCTCCTCACTTCCCAGATGTTTACAGACTGTTGTTTAAAGAAGAGGGGATGCTACACAGTGGTAGACTCGGCCCTGTCCCAACTGTTTGAGATGTGTTGCTGCCATCAAGTCCTAAATGAGTTAATGTTTTTCATGAAATGGTAAAATGTCTCACTTTCAACATCTGATATGTGTTCTATGCTCTATTGTGAATAAAATATGGGCCTATGAGATTTGTAGATCATTGCATTCTGTTTTTATTTACATTTATTTACATTTTACACAGCGTCCCAACTTTTTTGGAATTGGGGTGGTAGAAACAACATTAACTAATACAGTTGCTAATGTAGTACATCATGTGTTGTTTATGTAAACAAAATGTGTTACCTAATGTCAGTTTAAAAAGTGTTGAGAAACTATGATGAACTAGTTAAATGACACTGCAGCCTGAAGAGCTCTAATGTTAATTTACATATATATATATTTATTTTAAACAAATAAACACGTTTCCTTTTTTTTCTGTGGTGGTAATTTTGCTCACACGAACCTCAGATTATCAGAATTGTTGTCCAAGGTTTTATTGTTACACATCTACAGACCACTTTTCTGCCATTAAAATCAATTATTAGTTGATTAATTCACAAACAAACAAACAAACAAACAAACAAACATCAAAATTTGTTTTTGGCAGCTGGTGAATTTATAGCCAAATCCGTACCTGAGCCCGTACAGCACCGTGCCGTCCGGATGCAGCCGGATCATTCTGTTCTTCACCGTTACTCCATGAACGAAGGATTTCTTGTCGTTTAGGAAGTACGTGTCCGGAACCCACAGCTGATCCGCTACCCGGTTATCCAGGGTTAAATTCAGAGGAATTTCGGAATACGACAGACGCTTGTCCCGCCAAGCTTGCTGGAAATACATCGTCAACGTGTAATCCTGGAAGAGAACACAATGACACAAAGGTCACAAACGGAGAGAAAAGTGCGTGGAGAGTTTCTAGGATTTCCTGCACCACCTTTCAGACTCACTTCAATATCAGATGAAGCTAAAAGCAGAAGAGAGCACATCAGGTGAAGACAGTTCAAATACAACAACAACAACAACAACAACAACAACAACAACAACAACAACACTCCAAAGCAGCCCGTTCTATTGGTCAATACTTTTCAAAGGAGATTATACAATCTGTATCAGCAATGGGTGACCCTTAAAGTGAAACTTCACCTAAACATTGAGCAGTTCAGAGTGGTTTGGTGTGAAACGCTCCGTTCTAGATAAACTTACCGAGTCAGAACTGTTCACAGTGGTGGTGATAGGAACCAGACGTCCACCTCTAAAAGCTCCCTCACAGAAAGTTCCTACATGAAATGGTTATGAATTCACTGCCTGATGACTGAGACACTGTTTTATGATAGTTTAGAGAACTTAAACTCCATTCATGGTGGAGGGATACATGCAGGGCGCTGTGAGGCAAAATAGTCCCCAAAGAAAACTTATTATTTCAGATGTTCCACTATTTTCCATCATCAACATTCCATATAAACTCAGAAGACTCGTGTAGGTTCACTGGTGGTTCTGGATAGTAAATAAAATGTCTATATCTGTGTTGTAGTCATGGCGACCCCTGGTTCCTATCAGCACCACTGTAAAGACATCTGAACCATTTCACACCAAACCACTCTGAATCACTCTGTTTACATCTCACACACTGAGTTAAACAGAAATTTGGGAAAAGTTGGTGGAATTCCCCTTTTAAAGTAGCTGAATTCATTAATTAAAAGGGAAGTCTGGACATACCTATGGAAGAAAGCATGACGTCAGATGTGTTGTGGATGTTCTGGACGGGGGGTGGGGGGGTTGGGGTAAGGGCAGGCGTGTACACAGACGTGTCTGTATTTAAAGAACTGAACCGCTGCCCTTTTAGCACGTGCCCCGGTTGTGTCTCCCGCAGCCCCTGCAGGACGGCTCTGCTGATCGTTATGTAATACAGCGTGTCTCTGCTGCTCTCTCTCGCGTGCTCAACACCACGAGATTCTTCCCTAACCGTTCTGAGGGAGTGAAATATTCAGTGACGCAGGCTGCTCAAACCCAGAGAATAAAAGAGAATACAAACTTAGACGGGAGAGTTTGAGTGGCTGTGAGGTGTAGATTAGTTTGAGGGCAGCCTTTAGCAGAGTTTGAAGTAGCTGGAGTTCTGTTCTCCTAAAACCCTCCATGTAGAAATGCTTTTTAATGATTTTGGTCTTTTTTGGCATTTTTCAAGGAACAATCCGGTCAAAATGAACGGTTTAATCACCAGTGCGTCTGAGGTAAACATTAGCCTTGGACCAATAATTAATATTATGGAACACTGTGATAGTTTACATACTTTGCATAATGTAAATTAGCGTTCCTTCATTCTCTTTCATGTGCCGTGTGATCACTTCAAACTGCTTTACCTTTTTTTTTTTTAACCATTCTGTACAATGATAGTATGTGGACATCTGACCATCACATCTATATGAGCTTGTTGGACGTCCGATTCCAAAAACATGGGCATCAATATTGAGTTGCCCACCTTGGTGGCTATAACAGCCTCCACTCTTCTGAGAAGCTTCTACAAGATTTTGGAGTGGAAATGTGTGTCCATTCAGTCAAATGAGCATTTGTGAGGTCAGACACTGATGTTGGAAAAAGGTATTCAGTTGGTTGAGGTCAGGGCTCTGTGCAGGGCACTGGAGTTCCTCCACACCAAACTGGTCACTCCATGTCTTTATGGAGCTGCTTTGTGCTCAAGGTCTCAGTCATGCTGGAACAGGAAAGGCTCTTCCCCAAACTGTTCCACAAAGCTGGAAGCAGATAACTGTGTAAAATGTCTTTGTGCTGCAGCATCAACATCACCCTTCACTGGAACTGAGAGCCCAAACCCTGAAAAACAGCCCAGCCCATCATCCCTCCTCCACCAAACTGTACTGTTGGCACTAGGGCTGGGTGATAAAACGATAACGATAAGTATCGTGATAACTTTTCCTCAATAGAGCGATACGACATGTTCGATAAATGTTCGATATAATACACCATTCTCACACCTCCACATTCAGCGAAAGCCTTGGTGGCGTTTTCTACTGCAAGGAAAGCGACACTTCTGTGCTGTCGCCAGGAGAGGGCGCACTTCTAAATTTTTCTACATGATTAGAGAGGGAGGGGGCCACGAGTAAGATGAGTCTTTAGCAACGCGAGTTATACATTCCCTGTTTGAGTGGAGCGACCAGCGATCTGCTCTCCTATGACTGAGTGTGAGTGACAAGGTCAGTGGTGTAACTGTACTGTCCTACAGCGAACTCACCTCTTTCCTAACATCCTAACCAGCTTTAGCAGCGTTAAATCACAATCACAATCCTCACAGCTACAGTGCTGTTACAGCGCTCGGACAGTCATATTTAAGTATGAGTGCATTCCAAAGCAACAAAAGTGAAAGAAAGAAGTGGGTTCATGTTAATTACAGCCCTGATTTAAACGAAAGTAAACTGAGGAAGCTGTGAGGCGTTGGAGAGCGTGAGAGCGCTAGCTTTCCAGGCTAGCAGTTTTTAGCAGCTGGCTAACGTGATGCAGCGCTTCCTCACTGCACGACACGACGAAGTAAATTATACTGTAGATCAAACACGACACAAAAGCACTGTTTTCAGTTTAAACGTACCTAAAAGGAGGACTCTGTTTGTCTGGTGTTGATATTTTGCGGCTCACCCCTTAAACTAGCCGAGCGCTCGGCACCAGCTAAAAATAATCTGTTTTTTCTTAAATTATGACTATTACAAAATAGCCATGCTTTTCCAGCTGGTAAAAAACAGCTCACCAGACACTTCTCCCACTCTCCCACGACAGATTTTTGTCCATATCGCCCAGCTCTAGTTGGCACTGTGCATTCCGGTAGGTAACGTTCTCCTGACATCCACCAAACCCAGATACATCATCAGACTGACAGATAGAGAAGCTGATTCATCACTCCAGAGAACACGGTTCCACTGCTCCAGAGTCCAGCGGCGGCGCTTTACACCCCTCCAGCCGACGCTTAGCATTGCAATAGTGATCTTAGGCTTGTGTGCAGCTGATCAGACATGGAAACTCAATTCATGAAGCTCCTAATACACAGTTTTGTGCTGATGTTGCTTCCAGAGACAGTTTGGACCTCTTTAGTGATTCAACAAAGGATAGACACTGGGCACTTCAGCACTCAGCGGACCCAGAGTTTGCATGGTCTAGCGCTTCGCTGAGCTGTTGTTGCTTCAAGATGCTTCCATTTCACAATAATAAACACTTACAGTTGACCGGGGCAGATCTAGCAGGACAGAAGTTTCACAAACTGGCAGAGGTGACATCCTATGATAGTGCCACGTTAAAGTCACTGAGCTCTTCAGTACGACCCTCCACTGCCAGTGGTTGTCTATGGAGACTGCATGGCTATGTGCTTGATTGTGTACATACTGTGAACGTTACAAAGGGAAGAATGTAATGCAGATTTTCGCTCTGGAAAAAAATGCTGGGCTATATACAAATGTAACAAACTCCAACACAAGATCTTCTCCCCGGTAGAGACTAAAATGCACATTCTGTATACATTTTGGTTCTCAACCAATCACAGAAATAGATTGATTCTATCTAGATTCTCTGTTTTCTTTGACTGAGGCAAGAGATACATTACTGCAAGCTTTTATATTTATTAGCCTGTAGCTCTATGGCTGGGCAAGCAGTCAGGATTGGGTGACACCACAGGGATTCCCAAAGACTATACGCTGTATTTGCATAATGCAACACAACTTTACAGCTTTAACTTTGTTTCTCAGTAATGCTAATCCTGGTGGATTTAGTCTCACAGATCAAACTCTTTGTACTTAAAAGTGGTATTACAGTGAGAAAACTATAGAACATTGTGAATTCTGTCAAACTGATGGGGCTGAGAGATACAATGCAGCATAACACAATGAACAACATGTTAAACTCTAGTTTTAAGCTGTGCTGTAGAAAAAACACTTAAGCATAAATTACACAGCTTTCTATATTTAAGCTACAAAGCCATTTAGTTTTTACAGTATTTTTCCAGTATTTTTTTTCCGAAACCATAATGTGCTCCTGGCCATCTGTTCTGTTAGGAGTGGGTAATTAACCATGTCTACAAACAGGCTCTACAGATATCTACACCAGCTTCGAGCGTCAGAAAATGACACAATGAGTCGGGTTGCATCGGCACTATGTTCCATCTCAACGAATACTGATCTGTGAAGTGGATGAAAGAAGGGAGCAGTTTGACCTTTAACCAGCAAAACACACAACACTGTCACAACGTTGTCTACTTTCTTATAACACTGCTACAACGGTGTCAAAAGGTGGTGCTGTTTATGTTGTCTGAACAACACCGTCACAACATTGTCACAACATCATAATTAAGTAATGCTGTTACAGTATTGTGACTACCTATTTGCAACAAAGCAAAATTCCATGCACAACGTAATGGAACTTCTAGGAGGTTGTGACAACGTACTGACAACGTTGCCACAACATTGTCACAATGCTGACAGATAACGTCAAACAAAACAATAGGTCAAGGGTGTCCAAAGTCAGTCCCCAGGGCCAAATGTGGCCCATGGATAGATTTTAATGGGCCCTTGGCTTCTGTTTTAGAATGTGTTACAAGTGGCCATCCAGCCAATACGCTGCAGTTCTTCCCTTCACCTGATGGTGGCAGCAGTACTGTAAAATTAGTGTAATGTGCCGTACTGTGCCGCATTACACTAACGTAGTTAGCTAAAGCTGAAGAGCCTTTCTTCTCTGACTGACCTGCAGCTTCATTTACTGACCACATTTAGTCCAGACTGCAGCCATAAAGCTCAAACTAACACTGACAGTTATTTGTTATAAGCACTTAAAATGTTCCAGATTACTCTGAACAATCCAACAATAAA